ATTTTTTCGAGTTTCTTCCGGTTTTTTAACTTTTTTCAGTTTCTTCCAGTTTTCCTAACTATTTTCATTTTCTTCAACTTTTTAATCTCAAATAATGACTCTAAAAATAATACTCCCTCCGTTTGGAAAAACCCTTTCCATTTTGATTTGGGACAAAAATAAGGGAGTGTTAAATTATAGTTGATTTTCAATTTTGCCCCTGATGTGATGAGTAGAAGTAAGATGTGATGGATAGATTATTAGAGAAAAAATATGATGTGATAGGTAGGGTATGAAAAAGTAAGGGTAAAATTGGTTTTTTAATACAAAAAGGAAGTGTTTTGTTGGAAGTGGAAAAAATGAAAGAGAAAATGTTTTTGAGAACGGAGGGAGTATGTTTTTCATGTATTATTATTATGATAGTTTATAAATTATTTCAATTTTAGTATATTTATTTTTCTCATGTCACTATTTTATGATTATATTCACACTTATTATTATTATTATTATTATTTTTTCTTCCATTTTTAAAATAAATAATACGGAGTACAATTTTATTGAGAAAATTGTTCTTTTAAAATTTACATGAAATTAAAATATGTTCCAAAAATTATGGATATTTTATTAATCTAGATTGTCATGAGAAAAAAATCAATATTTTAAATTAAAAAATAATAGTTATAGTGCTCTCTGTCTCTTATTAAATGACATGTATATTATTCATGTGGTCGAATTTTATTCAGTCTTTACCATTTTTTTCTAACATTCAGATATTTCTTTTCATGTCTTAAAAAACATGCTCTTAAAATCAATCTCAATCTTGTGGTTGAAGGGCATACAATTGAAATTAGAGATATTTATACTCTAGGAACAACATATTAAAAAAACCTTGAGTGGAGTAAAGAACACACGCCAACTAGCACTTGTGATGAAAAAATGGAGACATGAGAAAAGATATGTGCACACATATACCAAAATAAAATGTTAATGTGAATATGAGATAATATAAAGTTATTTAAAAAATAATCATATATACACACAATTCAAATTAGTGATGGATGGAATCGAATTAGTTATTACTCCCTCAGTTTAGGAAAACAATTCTTATATTGACTTTGGGAAAAAAAATAAGGAAACATTATTTGTAGTTAAATTTCTAATTTTGTCTTTGACGTAATGAATAAATGTAAGATGTGATATGTAAGTTATCAGTAAAAAAATATAATATAATAAATAAATTGAGAATTAGTCGGAGTAAAAGTGATTTTTTTAATAAACGAAGAGGAACGATTTTGATAAATGAAAGAGGGCAAAAGAAGAAGAGGTTCAATGTCCTCAAGTAGGAACCATGTGCCCTAAAGACATGAATCAGGTAGCGGACAGCATGACCTACTTGTAATTACTAAGAAATTAAGGGGCTGTTTGTTTCAGCCTCTTAATGGTTCAGATGTCTGAATGATTCAGCACTTAATGGTTCAGACTGTTTGTTTCAGCCTCTTAATGGTTCAGATGTCTGAATGGTTAAGAGATTTGCCTCTGAATGGTTAAGTATTATACAGAGTCTGAATGGTTAAGAGCTGTTATCTGAATTGATCAGACATTTGCCTCTGAATAGTTAAGCAATATACTAGCTCTTAATGGTTCAGACCTCTTACTGGTTCAGCACTTAATGATTCAGACCTCTTACTGGTTCAGCACTTACCCATTCAGAAGTCGTCAAACAGCCCCTAAATTAAATATGGATCCCCCCACTGCACCCATTTAATTATAAATGTAAATGGACCCATATATACTTTATATAAACATATATATGGATA